CCTCCTGCCTCAGCCTCCTGAGTAGCTGGGACTACAGGCACATGCCACCACACTTGGCTAATTTTTTCGTAGAGACGAAGTCTCGCTATGTTGCCCGGACTGGTCTCTAACTCCTGGGCTCAAGCAATCCTCCCACCTCGGCCTCCCAATGTATGGGATGATAGGCACAAGCCAGCATGCCCAGCATATAAATACTTTATAAATTCCAAATACACGATTTTTTTTTGGCAGGAAAAGGAAACCCTTTGTATTCAGTCATAAGGTAAGTGTAAAAACCATATTAACAAATGTTAATTTGCTTGACAATTCTTTGGACATGAAACTGGCCGAAGAGAACAGTCATCTTTATGAGATACTTGAATTTCCGTGTAACAAAGCCCTCAAAAATAGAGCTCAAAAGTGACTGGGTCTCTCTCTTTAGAATCAACTATCATCTCACCTCTCAGGGATGACTAGCACATTGATCTTCAAGGGCATCTACTTAAAGGTACTTGATACTCCAAAGACAACTTGCAGGAGAGAGCTGGATTGGTCTGAGAATCAGGAATTGGTACTGGTTCAAATGGGAGTCCAGTCTCTCCAAGCCCACCAGACACTGCAGGGCTGCACCAATCAGGCTCCCGTGTAAATCGAGCATTTCTAAGAAAGCATTTGATGTATTCGCATGCATTTGTTTGCCCACGAGTAGACGGTAACAGAAATGACTTCTTCCCAAGGAATTGGGGGGTGAGGCAGAAGGCTATTTTTGTGGCATATCGTCGGGTTTCTTTAGCATGATATAGTGTGAAAATGTGTTACCTGTTTAACATATTTTCGTAAGGCAAAAGTAGATGATGATTATTCTTAGGATGAAGATAGGAAGGGTCAATAGTGGTGGTGAGTTTGTTCATGACTCAGTGTAACAAATGCAGCCATTCCCTTTGCTTGCCTCTCTCTTCCCGCTTTCTCAACTGTTTTTATTTTATTTCATCTTTTAGAGACGGACTCATCTTCTGTCACTCAGGCTGGAGCCTAATCGCACGATCACAGCTCCCCACAGCCTCTACCTCCTAGGCTCAGGCAATCCTGAGTAGCTGGGACTACAGGCGGTCACTACCGCACCTGGCTAATTTAAATATATATATATATATATATATTTTTTTGGTAGAGACAAGGTCTTGCTATGTTGACCAGGCTGCTTTTGAACGCCTGGTCTCGAGTGATCCTCCAGCCTTGACCACCAAAAGTGCTGGTGTGACAGGTGTGAGGCATCCCAACTGGACTCCCAACTGTTAATATATTCTTGAAAATATGACCAGGCAAAGTGGGGACCAAAGGGAGGCCCAAGCTTTACATGTATGATGACCCCTTGTATACCTGATGGTGAATTGTACCCCACATCTTTAAAATAGACATAAATAAATAGATAAACAAAAAGAAAATATGACTATCGTTCTTTTGTATTTGATATACTTTTCTCCAGTGTAACTGAGGCTCTCCCCTCAGAAGTGACAAGAGCAGCTGTGATCAGCCTGGGTCAGAATCACAACTTTGCCATCGATTTGCTACATGACCTTGAACGAGACATACGGGCTTTCTTTGCCCCCATCCTTCATCTGTAACCTGAAGAGTAAGAACTAGCAGACAGCGTAGGTCCCTTTTAGTAAGACCATCCCATGATTCCTTGACTTTATCTTTCTCCCACAAGGTTCCTGTACTCGTCAGCAACTCTAAGACACAAAGACTCCATGTCCTAACACACATTTCTGAGAAACAGGCCCAGGGTAGAATTATTAAGAACTGATTTTGTCTAACAGCTAATATATCCCCTCAATCATAGATACACACTTGATCCTGGCAGTCAGTACAAGCCCTTTATAGATGAAGAAACTGAGACTTAGAGAGTTCCACTGAGCTTTCTAGGCCTTGTCGTTAAGAAACAGAAGAGCTAGGAAGTTGGAAACGATGGGTTTTTTCTCCCCCTAAGACGACTGTATACAGGTATTTAAAATAATCTGCCATAAAGTCTTTTGAGAGCAGTAGATTCTTTTCTAAACATTTTGAGGTTTTTATTCCCTCTCAGCAGGTCATTTCAAAACCGTGAAGCACTAACCTAAACTAGTGAGGATTAGAGATCAGAGGGCCAGGCACACCCAAGGGGGCTAGAGCTCTTCACACAGGTGGGTGGGAGAGTACTCCTCCATACAGAGAGCCCTGAGATTTCATGCTTTCCCCAGAGAGCAGGCCAACCCAAGTGTCAATGACGCAACATGGAATACCATGTTCTGCTTTTAAAAAATTATGACTACAGTTAGTATCCAAGTGTATGATCTGTGCAACCCACTATTGTTTTTAGTTGGAATCTCACTCTGTCACCCAGGTCGGAGTGCAGTGGCACCATCACGGCTCGCTACAGCCGCGACCTCCCGGGGTCAGGCGATCCTTCCCCCTCAGGTTCACTAGTAGTTGGGACTACAGGCCCGAGCCATCATGCCTGGCTAACTTAAAAAAAAATTTTTTTTTTTTGTAGGGACGAGGTCCTACTATGTTGCCTAAGCTAGTCTTGAGCAACTGGGCTTAAGCAGTCTTCCTGCTTCAGCTTCCCAAAGTACTGGGATTACAGGCATGAGCCACCATACCTGGCCCCAAACCACTATTATAGAAAAAAATTAATCCATTGTCCTGGCCATTTCAGTAAATCAAACCTTTTATTTTCCTGTGATCTCTGCCAGTTCTTGTCTCTATACACATATGATTTTTTAAAAAACTGGTTGTACTTGTAGTATAGACATGTATTTTGAAGTATCAGAAATCTAACTATTCATAAGAGAAAAGCTCAATTTTAATAACTGTTTTTAGACGACTTTCCTCAGTCTAGATTTATTTCATCTGTTTTGCTTATTGTTTTCTCTTGAGTTTGTATATTTTTCATCAGAAGGACAAAAATTATACAATCTGTGTTTAAGAAGTTTTTTCTTTTAAGTTTCAAATATCATACAGCAGGGAACGTCATCATTTTATATACTCTATCAGGACTCCAAACTCTTAAGAAAGGTTGTGTCTGGAGATCTTTGTAAAATCCATGTGCATTTGGGTGGTGGAGAGAGAGTTCTATCTGGGGGCAGAGGCTAAGACTGCACGAATGACCTAAAGGTTTCTTCCAGCTTCTGAACTCTCTGATTCTCTGACAAGTCCTGGTAGACCCACGTTTCCTGGTAAAGATTGAGCAAGAAACATTCACAGTTACTTTATGAGTCTCAACAAAGTGGGAGTTTCAGGTTGAGGGCCAGAAAGGGTTTGGCTGGGTAGGGAGAAGGCTGTTTTCCTGGTTACTGGCTATACCTTGGGGGTTCTGTCTTGCTATGTTGTTCTGTTGGTCACCCAAGCCACTGTGCCCGTGGAAAATGATGGCCATCGAACGAGCTAATTCAGTGACCCCTGGAACTCTGAATGGGCTGTCTTCTCAACATTCAACACCTCATGCGTGCACTGATGTGTTTGGAGGCATCACCTCATGTATGATGTGTTTGGAGGCATACACCTCTTTGGTTCTCAACCGAAATGGCAAATAAGTGAAACATTAGATCATAAGTTATAATATTAAAGAAATAAATGTTGGTAAAAATGCTAAGGCACAACTCAGAGGAATTACTGAGTGATCCCTCCCCAAATATTATTTGAACGGCACTGATAGGTAGCTTAAAAAAGGTACTAAGGTCCCCAGAACTTTCCGTCCTATTTCCAAAAATGTGTATCTACTGTAAAACGACGCCAACGTTTCTAAGCGCAGCCTAATTCAGCGGCATAGGGCCATCCCGGGGATTTCTGACACTGCAAGCCCGGTCCACGCTGGCTTTACCTGTCACGAAATCCTTTGTGTGACTTTCACCAAACCACCTCACTTTCTATAAAAAGTGCCTGGGAGACTCGAATGCCGTGAAGTGCACGTGGCCCGTGCCCGGAGCAGAAGCCCCGGGTGTGGGATCTTCCAGGAGGCGCGCCTCAGCTGACCTCTGCTCCCAGCA